TGCAGTTCCTGAGAGCAAGTACGAGAAAATACTTTCGCCATATCCGTGCCGACACGGGCTGGATAATTAATTAATTAAAAAAGAGCCGTTGGAAGACTCCGCGCTGCTTGAGCTTTCCTGCAGCACATCTTTGCACCAAATGCTCTCGCAACGTACCCTTACCAATTCGTGAGGGCGAGTGATTTCGTAATACCATCACGTGTGCGAGAAGGCACCAAGACTCCTGCTGCCATTTTCGATGACCTTCCTGAATGAAGCCACGTTTTCTGTGTCGGTTCACATCAAATCAAAGTCACAAAACAGGATGATGTTGAGTCAAACTTACGACTTTGATTTTCTTTCAACGAGCTTGACCGTCAGCAGCTTCGTTTTCAGCATGCCAAACTACTTTTCACATACATAACGTACTCTGAGTGCCAGTTCATATCAAGAAACTATAACGTAATCCGGGCAGCTGCAAATGGAGAACCCCTTTCTGGCCCTTGATTCGCGTGCCCGCTTATGTGTGCCTTTTTATTATCAATATTTTTACTCAGTGGAGGTCGCTGAATGTCCTCTGAGTCGGTTAGGGCGCCCTAAACAGCCAATAAATTGAGAACCGCTGCTCTCGAACACCTCTGATTGGATACACTATGTGTTTGGAGCATTTGTCAGACAGATAGAAAATGCCGAATGACAAAGTGGTGTGGTGGAGTGTGAAAAGAAAAATATTAGTGTGGAGCAGTGGTTATCAGACCTTCCCGGTATTGAGAAAACCCGGAGCTCAAATCCTGGCTACCACAATATTGCTTTCCGATTTACTTTGTACTCTTTATTTCCATTTAGTCAGAAGGGTTCCGTCATACGCCCACACAGAAGAAACCTTGCGCGCCAGTGGCTCACTTCTGTCAAGCTGCTGCAAAGTAGCAGTTGCTAAACACCTTCGATTGAACAATTTATCGATTTCAAAATAAATAATTTCTAAGTAACTGTAGATTGCAATAGAAGCACACGTCCAGTGGTGTCCCATATCGAAGAGAAAGGTTTCCCCCTTCGATATTTTTGTTTGGAACCATGCCGGCGGAGTTCCTTGTAGTACATCATACTGTGATGTGCTAAAAGAAAATCCGCTGTCAGATGATAACAATATCAGAACACTGGAGCTCCTGGCACCGCTATAGTTAGGATATAGCCAGAAATATCAGGAACTCCAAAGTTCTGTACAACGGCTTGCGTGCCACGAGCACGATCGCATAGCTTAGAAGATATCTTCCTGACGTGAGTTCTTGCGCGCTACAAAGACTTAAGGAAAACAACGACATAAAAGTGTGGTTTAATAAAATGGCTAAAATTGCTATGGTTACAAGGGTATTTGGGGAGAAAAAAAAAACATTGAAATCTTTCGTTATAAAATAAAGGTTCCCATTGAAATGTATTAACTGTTCAGAGCGAATCACAAATTACATTCTCTATACAATCTTGTACTACAGATTCGCATCGCTATGCTAATAAAGGCTCCACATGACTTCAAACACACTTGCTAGCAGTTTTGGCTTTAGTAGCATTTCTGCCAGCATCTTATTTGTATACACATTTTTGTGTATGCAAAAAAGGAAAAACGACAACAATCGACTCACAAAAAAAAAAAAAAAAGATAGTACTGTTCTCAATAAATATTCAAATATAGTAAATTGATTGCTTCATTTATAACAGAGGCTGTTTATCTAAGGCTATGTTCCTAATTTTACCCGAGTAAACTATCCGCGATTCGATTTTGGAATGGCCGGGATAATCACCTGGCGGCCGGGATAATCACCTCAAGCGGGACTTGAAAAGTCCCGCTTGAGGAAGAAGGGTCCCCCTTCGAAACGTCGCGGTTTATGTATGAATTATACATGTTCAATTAAATCGTCCAAGTTTGTTTGACCCTTCGGTGGCATCTACTTTTATAAAAATACGCCTACAGCCTACTTAGCCCCAAGATATATATATATATATATATATATGGCATCCTAATGGAGTTTCTTTGTATATACCGGTTTCCCTGGAAAAGCGCTGGATCGTTTGATTCGCTCAGCTTGGTCCTGTCCCATGCCACCCCTACAAAGCTTGCTTGATCATTCCAAAGCCACCGTGCATCTTCTAGCGAACATAGGTAATCTAAGGCGGTACCCAAGGATGTTCAGAACGAAGACGGTGCCTGCACAAGCTTCTTGCGAGGGACCGAAAGACTGCGGCGTTTTTTTACCCCTCGTTCACCGTCTCATTCGCGAACCAAAAAAGAAAAATGCTCCGGCATATGTGCACAGGCAAGAAGGTCCAAGCGCGACAGTCTGTTCTTCCCACGCGAGGTTGCTGTGCAGTCTCGAAGCACTCAGCCAATTGCATTACCGCTGATTGGAGTCGACGGACCTTTCTTAGGGGAAGAACCCCGGCGAATTGGGGAGCCCGAATGTCTCCGCCGCTGGTTTGGGGCTGGTTTACGTTGTACATTCCTTGCGGGACGTGTTCTCCTTCTGCCGGAACCACGCACTGTGCTCGGCATATCAGGCTGACACGCGAGCGTTTCTCCTCGACAAGCACCAGCCGGGCCGGCGCTTCGAACCGACAGGGTCCCCCGTGTCTGTGGCAAGAGGCGCGGGCGGCTGGCAATAACGTCTTGGCACGTTTTTGGTTTTGTGTATTCAGCGTTTGTTCGAAACTGAAAGGAAAAAAAAAACTATGCTAGAGCAGCGGCAGCTGGCGACTGCGCTGCCGTTGCGGCTGGTATTGGGGAGCAACGCCGCCGAGGACACTTTGTGGAAGGTGATGTGACTGACAGCCGCGCTTATAACTCGCACACTCGAAGTTTCTCGCGAGTTGCAAACGGTGTTGCAACTTCTTAGAGCGCTGGACAAACACTGCGCATTGTCAGACTTCTTGGCCCTAGTGCGTGCGACGAGCGCCTCAGTTATTGCTCGAACTTTGTGTTACTTTTGGCAGCACTCAAAAACGTGAAATGTTTTATTCTTATTTTTTTTTACGTCTGTTCATTTTTCCTAAAATATAGTCTGCATCCATGGGGACACGTCGGCAACATTTTTTTATTTCGTATTAAATTTTGCTTTCTAAGAGTTAACGTATGTTTTAAAGTATTTTAGACGTAAAAAAAGTAAATCACGGTATAGCATGAGGAAATATGAATGCAGGGGTGAAAAGTTCAAACCTTGCTGCCAAGTTTTGAAAATCAAACCGAACTACTATTTCTGTCTTCAACCCCTTCGGAACGCTTTTAGACTTCATCGTAATGCGTCTGATGTTCCAAGCGGCCATACAGCCGGTTTCAAAAACACGTCACTCAAATGCAGCTCAAGGATGGGATGCGAGTGCTGCGACATTGATCGTGCTTGGGTTCGGGTACCCGCAACGCACCGGATTAGCGTTTGGTAGCGGTCGATGTGGTGGCGTAAATTTTCGATCTTCAATACGTCCGGAGTACAGCACGCTCTCAGAGCATTGCCAAGCCAGGCGGCGTGTGGCTGTGATGAACACTAGAGAGTTTCAGTAAATTGTTTTGATGACTTTGATAACGACACCCGATACTCTGCCGTCGCCTTTGCGTATGCATCGTATCGTTATCGGGGGTATCGGAGGTATCGGAATGATCTACGAAAACTCTCTAATAGGGCACAGACCGGAAACAGTACGTGCGCCTGCTTGTTTTGCGACAGGGAGCGCGTGTGTCGAATGCGGCGTCCGTCTTATTTATGACTAACACCTCCGACAAAAGCATAACCCTACCTAGTCAGCGTAAAAATAAAATAATATTAATATGGCATCATTGTGTGCTCTTAGGTCTTCTCGCTCTTGGGAAACGAAAAAAAAAATAAGTGGAGATTTTG